GTATCTTTTTTGGGGGGGTGAAAAATTACGTTATGTCTTTTTTAATAATAAATCATTTTTATGAATATACCTTCCTTGTTTAAACATGTGCCATGGTGTGTTTTCATTTTGCTTGTGACTTGTTGATGTTTTTTAATAATAAAAAAACACACAATATATAAATGCTTATGCTGTGAGATCCCTGCCCCCACGTGATTATGTAACCAATGGGCAGGTACGTTTGTCTTCTGACATAATTGATCACGTGACTCTCCGACGAATCAAGTCTCGAAGTGTGTCACGTAAGGAACGTGCCCTCACTAGCCGGCGGTGGTGGGAAATTTAGATCTGTGTGTGAGCTCTGCTGTACTATAGCAAGTATTTTAAGTATTTGACCGACCAGGGTTTCGCGATTTAAGATGGGCAAGAATAAAAAAAAAAACACAACACGACTGAAAAACTTTGCACGGAGGAACGATTTGAAGCTGGAATATGAGAACGTTTTAGAGAGACCTGGCGAGAAAAGGTGAGCTAAAACCGGATAAATGTGTTCGGCAGCTGCAATGTATTAAAGAGGGTATGCTGCCATATTGTGCATTGGGCCATGCAAGTGCTAAACCAACTACTAAGTCCTTGTAGTCTTATATTAGTTTAATAATAGCTATTTGGTTTAACTTGGAATACGCGCGACTCGCTGTGATACACAACGGCTGTGTTGTCGGAGCCCATTACTTCGCACTGTCCCGAAAAATCTGGGCTTTGACAAGTCGTGTTTTGACGTAGTTGACTGTGGCAGTGACCTCGCTTATTACATTATTTAACTTGGGATTCAGTTCTTTCTTTTCATAACCAAACCATGTAAAGTGAGAACTTTAAGAACTTAATATAGCCACTACACTGACCATCAAAACGATGAAAAAGCCTCCGTGGCTTCACATTTCTGCGATCGGCATGATCAAAAATTCGCCCTTCTCTGACAGATTTGTCATGTTGTGCTCGCTCCTGCAACATCATCATCCCCAGAAGTTTCCCCGCGGTTATGCTGCCATGTCCTCACATAGCTCTAGAAACATTCAGTTATCACTTATCGCTATTTCAGGTGACTACCTTATGAAGCTCATAAAGTAATCAAAGCAAAGGGTGGCTATTTTGAAGAATCTAAAATATAAAACGTTTTTTGAGTTGTTTCACACTTTTTTTTTTGTTTACTACACAATTCCACATGTGTTCATTCATAGTTTTGATGCCTTCGGTGAGAATCTGCAATGTAAATAGTCATGAAAATAATGAAAAACTGTTAAATGAGAAGCTGTGATCAAACTTTTGAGTTGGAGTACATCAGCAATGTTAATTAGAGCTTTTAAAATTCTTTGTCAGAGTCATCATGAGGAAGAACGCTGAAAAAGCAAAGCAGAACGCAGCTCGAAATGCCCTGGAAAGTTTGAATGAGAAGGAAAATCTAATCGTGGAGGTAAGATGGTGCATGTGCCTGTATATGGAACACGTTTCACAAATTTGTTGATCTATTCTTAACAATGATGTCATTTCTGAAAAATCCGTTTTTTCTTTCAGATGAAGAAAAAAGATTCAAATGCGCAACGTTCTCACCTGAAATGCAGAAAAACTCTGTTTGGTGGTATATCTGAACGCAAAACTAACGGGGTGAGTAGCAATACATTATAACCTGTGCTGGTTTAAATCAAACACTAACTTGTATGCATGGTGGAGCATGTAACTTGGAGCAAACAGTGGATCTTATTAGTACTGTAAATGTTAAGGGGTGAAAATGACGTACCAGGAAATACTGTCTGAGTTGTTAAGATCCAGTGACTACGAAGGCCATTTGAGTCTGAATTTGCACACACAATTACCATCCAGTTTACAATGCATGTGTGACCCAGAGGAAGTACTATTTAGATAGAGAAGATCTGTAGGCATAGAGTCAGTTCACAAAGTTTAATGCTAGTACAAAACAAACGTTTTATACATGTAACCGTAGCACCAAGAAAACAATGAAATTAGTAATATTTAG